TTCTCTCTGTTCTGACAAAATATTGGGTTTTAATAAGGTTTTGTTTATTTTAGAAATGTCATTTTGTTGATCATTACACTTAGCTTCTTTGCCTTTCTTCTCATCTGTGATCATTAAGAGTTTCTTGTGCACCAAGAGCAGTACTGCCCTTCCACAAGACCCTTATAGAAGAGCAGCTGAAAGAAGAAGTTGTGATTATACTTTGGGCATGTTTCCTTTGCTGTCTTGTATCATTTGAAGGTTTTATTAATCTCTTAAGGACATTTCGTACAAAATCCCTGAACTGTATAAATCCATGGGAGTCTTAATAAAAACAAGATTTATTAAGAAAGGAGACAGAACACTGGAGAAATGGACTGTGTAACAAGTCTAAGCTGAAATGTTGCTAAAGCTTGTCTTGATTAGTCTCCTTCATGTCATTAACAGAAAGTAAGCTGCCTTACACATCCTCTGATTGCAATTGCCTGTCTCCCCTCTGACTGCCTCCGGCAACTACCAAATCTGGGAGACCTTCTGGTATCAAATGTCTTCTTTGGAGGGTGCTTTTCTATCTTTGCTCTTCCTCTCATCCATGTGAGTGTTGACGGGTGCTGCTGTGGGAGAGGTAGCCCCCGTGTTAGCCCTGCCTGCTGCTGGGTACCTCTGCAGAAGTATAGCCACAGAGATACACAGCCTTCTTCAACTGCAGCCCACCCTCTGCCCGTAGGTCAGAAACATGGACGTCTGAAATTGTAGTGCAGACACGAAGTCTGCCCAGAGTAGCGCTTACTGCCTGGCATTGAACTATTTAATTCTCTTCCGTATAGCTTTAAGTTCTTTTGAAAGTGTTATACAAATGTCGCTCCTCATCCTTTTTCCATATCTCATTTTTGAACAAGCAGATCACAGCTCAAGTCTGTCTACCCTTTCTCCTAAATTATTGACCATGACTTTACATAGTAAATTGCACTGGCTACAAATGTTTGCTTGAACATAATTCATGACAGAGTTTAAAGAGACAGAGCTTACATATCATTTTCTCAGTCAGTAAACAACTGATGTTAATTTTGGCATTTCTCAGCTTCCAAGTGCTTAGTTTTGATAAGATGGTGTTCTTTTCAATAGTTACAGTCCATTTAAATAATTTTCTTATTTTAAAAAAAGCAGCAAAACTTGCACTGAGAATGCAATGACATCCTGCAAAATCCTACTGGCCCTCCCTTTCCCTGGAAGACTCCCACTACTGAGTCTTGCAAGCACTGGAAACTAGATGAACAGCATCCTCTGCCACCACATCCACTACGTGGCACTAGCCATTGCAGGTGAATGATATGCACCTTTGCCATTTCCCATGCAGGAAGGAGGGTGCAGCTGGGGTGAAAGACGGGGAAACAGAACAGACTCAGTGGAAACCTGCACCCTGCTGTGTTTAGGCCAACCAAGGAATTACCAAATTTGGGCATTTTTTTAATATACACAGCAAAAAGGAAATACCAGAGACCTTGTTTTGGTTCTAGACCTTCTTAATGAAATGCCTGGGGACAAAGTAAGTTAAACACGACCAGAATTTTTTTAACCTTGTTCTAATGAATAGTATCAATGAATAAAAAAATCAAGTCTTGAGCAGATGCTTGAAGTGGAAATTGTGCTGAAGATTGAGTTTAGCAAAAGTATAAATGGCTGAAAACAGGCTCTTACAGTAGAATTTTTAGGCAACTTGTTGACAAGTTGTAGGTCCTAGATATAGAAGTAGCTTCAGACTCATGCTTTCCCTTTCCTGGCGTTACGGTTTTTCTTATTCTTTCCGATTTCATTGTGTTGTTTTGTCCTCATATTCCTAAGCTGTTTGCATCACCTAGTCTGTAACCATTTCTTAGGCTTATTTAAGTTTTTTTAAAAAATTGTCTGCCTTCCAAGAAGACAGAGAAGATAACCAGCTAAATATATGTAACAAATAACATGAGTTAATTTTATTGATGCTTGCAGAATTATCCTGTAAATCTCAGCCAAAATGGTTGTGGGTTTAGTTAAAACTGGTAAGGCTGGAACATTGCCTTATTTAATGGCTTTACTAGAGTACAGTTTTCTCTTGCTTTCCCTATACTGTAAGGTCATTAATGAATCATTATCTATTGCTAGTAATTACTGATCTCTTGAGAATATTGGTTTAATTATATAGGAATCATAAGTGGAAGATACAGTTACGTATTCTACAATGTAGGTAGTAGTACCTTGGTGTATTATGGCTTTAAAGAATCTGTTGGGGTTTTTTTTGTAGATTTTAATTGCTAAGTGTGCCTGGTAAAATATGAATTATTGTATTACTGCATGTGATAAAAGGTATACTATTGTGAGCCTCGCAGTCTGCAGGTGTAACAGATGTAAGGCAAGATTAACAGGACAGAACAATAATTAAACCAGAGACAGCCATCTCAAAAAAAAAAAAAAAGGTTTATCATGTCCAATGCAATTATTAAGTGTGTCTTAAATTCTCTTCAAATATTTGTAAAAGCAATAAAAATGTGTTAGTTTGAAAGACAGCTTTTCAGCGTGGACACTTACTTTAAGGAATTAAGATCTCTTTTTATGAATACAAAAGCTGAGTGGAGTCCTGCCATATGGCAGCATGGTTCATAGGCAATAGGGTCCTTGGTTTATAGATGCTATGAGCTAAATGCTGCCGAAGAAAATAAGAGAGCAGTTAGTATATATGCATTTACAACAGTATGAATTGCTTGCTCCCTTTAAGACAGGAAAGTTCAAATAATTAACGGTAATATTACGGTTGCAAAAGGAAGTCCAGTTGTTCTTCAGCAGACTACGTCTGTGAAACGTGATACCTCTGGGGACTGAGATTTAATTTTCCCAGGAGAAAATACAAAAGCAGGAGGAAAAAAGGAATGACTTCTGCTTGAGCAGAATAAACCTGCATCTACAAACGATTAACACTGCATAATGAAGTAGTAAAGAAGCAAAAGAGATTTCTAATAAAAGACTAATAACAAATCCCATTACACCATGGTGTATTTTTTCCCTTAGAGTGTATTAGACTTTTAGCAAGGCTTCTGAATGAGATCTGGGTAGTTGCAAGCAAAGTCAGCTCAAATGCTTGAAGCTTAGCTGAAATTTCTTGCCTAACAGTTTGTGTAACTTGAAAGTTGCGGTTTTACAGGTGGGAGGGGTTGTTAATGCAAGTAATAGGCTTCACGCAGAGTTTGGGTAATATTTGTGTCACCATAGGATAATAGTCTCCTGTGGGCTAAGCACTGTAGGGTAATGTGCCACTACATGGTAAAATCCCTTCGATAGAACAGAAGTGGTATTAAATGCACTAGCTAAGCCTTACTTCTGTGTTAACAGTTCTTCTGACTTCTCTTTCTGAGGCCTGAAAATAAGTCCTCATAGGGAAGGGGTTTGATCAGAGAGAGAAATACATAGAGTTTGTGTTTTGTCATAGCTAATATTGTGACTTTTATAATTACTACACTAACATAAAAAGTTACAAGATCTTAGAATGTAAATGTTTAATACAAGGATGAGAAGATGCTGTCTTTTGAAACTACGTATTTTCACTTTTAAAAGGGAACACGTCTTGCAAGGGAAAAAATTCTGTGTAGTGATCTCTGAATCTGTAACATGGATGTTTCTGCAGATTATACATATGGTTCCAGTGGCAGGGGGAATAAAAGTTTACAAACAAACAAGTGAACAAAACCTTGACTCGCAAAACAGTCCCTTTAATAAGACAGTCTTCTTGTACAGATTGTTGCTATCTTAAAAGCTTGTGCTTGACTGACGTGTTGGAATTCATTTGTCTAGAAATGAACTTTTATTACAGGAGTCACGAAAAAAAACCCAGATGCCTTAAACCAACAATGAGTTCTGGGACAAAAGTGGTTAAACATGAATTCTTACAAGTGAAACTAATCTTGATGAAATTTCTAGTTGCCTTTTTAGAAATTTTTGTGAGTTTTAAAGAATGACTTAATATGCTTAGCAGAAATTTGCAATCAATCTTTTCTTGCCACTGAATAAACAGATTCCACACGCATAGTAATTTGCATATCCACACTAAAAATGTAATTCATTATTTTTAAGTCCATTTTGTAATAACTATTTCAGGATTAATGTTACTAACTATTTTTAGCTCTTTCAAATGTAACCTTAGATAATCCTACCTAAAAAGGTACAAAGCTACCAGGTCTGTTCTGGAATAGGAAAGGGAGGTGCCTTTCCTGAGGTCAGCAGGTAAGTCAGTGTAAGAGCCAGAACTGGAAATAAGAAATCTTGAGAAAAAAATTTCTTCTACTGCATTTCAAGCTTACAGCCTCAAGCAAATAGTGCGTTTAATAAGACAGATTTTCACATTTTGCTAGGTATGAAAACAGCACGGATATGAACAGGAATTGACAGTATAGTCTACATGCAGATTATCACTAAATCTGGTAAAGATTTAAATTAGGTTTAATCAAAATAGCATCCATAGCATATTTCACATGGAGCTGCGAACACTGTCATCGATTACAGGGAGGAAGCCTCTTCAAACTAAGTGTGACCCTGTCCATTTTAACTGCTGCTCGGCATCTGCCTCTGAACTGGCTTTCACTTCACTGGGCTTTTCGGGGCTTCTCATAAACAAACCACTGGCTTCACCCTCCTGGTTTTGCTGTTCCACGCTATTCTTGCGTAACATTTTCTCCCTTTCATCTTGGATCACTATCACATTAAATGCCAAAAAATACAGTGTATAGGATTGATATGTTTTGTCCTTTGAGGTTCACCCATGTAATAATATTAGTCAGTTTAGCTTTTACAGTCTGCAATGTATCACTTCTTTAATGTAGATGCAGTAACATTTCCACGAATACAGTTAGTTAAGTGGTTATGACAGATCTTTGCGCTTTGCAAAATTTTCTAGTAAAATGTTTTGGATTGTAGCTGATCCAGGGATGGGTATCCTGACTTTACCATACTTGGCAAAATGGAGAAATACAAATCATATCTTTTCCTTTTTTTTTCAGGCGATGGGTAAGGCTCCTGTTTGGACGTGAATTCCCACTTCAGGACCTTCTGGTTGTCTGGGATGCTCTATTTGCTGACAGTATCACCCTGAATTTAGTTGACTACATTTTTGTAGCCATGTTGTTATATATTAGAGATGCCTGTAAGTATCAATTATCCTACACTCTTTTAAAAAGAATGCAAACCTATTTTTCCAAAGAAAAAAAGGACTTAAGAAATGCTAAATTTCATTGTGAATTTTTTAACATACTGAAAATCCTTCCAAATGCTAGGAGAAGAGCCATTTATTATCAGACACGGTCTGGTGTATTTATGAAACAAATTGTATCTTGGAGTTAAATGCAGGTTTGTTTTCTGAGTAGTTCTCTGGTTTTATATAGAGTTGTGGATTTTATGTGCAGTAAGTGATACAGGTATGTATAGAGCTCCACCTTCTGACCAAGCTGATGAATTGAGTAAAGCCTCTCTGAGACTGGAAATACTTTTATGCTGTTCTGCTGTGAGAAATGTGAAAATGCACAAGGCAATGACTCATAATTTTCGAAGATATATCTTGAAAGAAATGTAAATGCAGAGATGAGTAACAATTACAAAATATGTTTATTCTGTGCAAGAGTGGCATCTTTAAAAAATGATCATTTAATTTTATTTTATTTTAGCATGCCTGAAATATGTGCAAAGGTGAATTCTTATGGGTTAGTGATGACTAATAAATACATTAAGTTGGGGCAAACAAGAAATAACAAATATGTTGTTAGCTTATATAATTGTGAATGGGAAGAGGAAGATATGTAATGATTGAGGCATTTATGTCTGTCCCATCATATTTTGAAAAAATTCTGTATACAATTTTGCTGCAAGAAAGTATGCGTCTTGCAGCAAGATTTATGTCTGTCATTAAATATATGAATTCCATAGCATGCTGTTCAGAGTTAATTATATACAATCTGTAAGCTTTAGGTTATAACAAGGTCGCATATTTGACACAATTTTGTATTCTCGGACACATAAGGTTTTCAGCATCTGTGGTTCCTATTTTAGGGCCCAATCTCAAAAAGATAACGTGTATGTACTTTGCACGTACTGTCGTTCCAGTGCTTGCCTTCATGTGGTTTTTTAATTACTTTTTAATAAACATGCAGCATATAGAGCTACCTTATAGTCCTCTCAAAGAAGTGGACATTTAATTCAGTTTAGAGGTTTCAAAATTAATGCTGCTGTTTCAGGATGATCTGATTCCAGGTCATTATGTTCTGCAATCTAAATCTGGCTTGTTTATGTGCAGTAAACGGAAATAATCTTAAAATTTTTGGTATAGATATATGGTGCAGATGCATGTAAAACTGTTTCTTAACATCAGTGTTTTATTTTGTGTCATCGTTTTCCTTTAAAAAAAAACGAAACTTTAGAACTGTGTTTGTAAGCACCCTCTCTCTTCTTGGGGAGGGAAGGTTGTTCTGCATTTGTTTTCTTTTGCTTTGTGGTGCTCATGTACAAGTACCAGTATGAGGTAACTAAAAACATGAGCTAAAAATGTGTTCTAGGCATCTGTATGATGCCCTCTTTTTTCTGAAATCCCCAGGCTTAGTAAACAGAGTAGTAAATAGCTTTAAAGTGGAGTACATTTGCCCAAATGAGATGCAAAGTCACCTCATCAGGACAGCTAATATTCATACATACACTGTTTCTGTAATAGAGTAACTTTTTGTTCTATAGGTAGACCTAGTTAGTTACTCTAGGCATAATAAAAAGGTGAAACACAGTACCCAGTCATAAATATTGTAAACTTGAAGATATTTTCAAAGTCAAGCTCAAACGATAGTGATTTGCACAGTGATTTGATAAAAGAAAGCTTTTCTTATATGTCTGTAATAGAAGAGTTTTCCATTTTTCCTCATTTTTTTATTGCTGATATTTGAGCTTTGAATGGAGTTCAAAGTTCCGTTGTAATATTTTTACAAACATTTTCAAATAAAATAGGTTTCTAAAAGCTTCTCTTTATTTGGTGAAAGGAAATGTTAGCTCAAAACATGTGATGATGTGAATCATCTATAAATAAACAGTCTGGAAATTTTCAGTTTAAAAACTTTGAAACAATAGGAATAATAATAGAGCTCCTAAGATATTTTATTATAAAAATGTCAAATGTAAACAATGATAATAATATAGTACTGAAAGCATTTGAAACCTTAAAAATTATGCAGATTCTTTTATGCCAAAACATTTGGGGATGAGGGAGAAGTTGCTGGTTTGGGAATTGATGGGGGGGGTTCTGTGTTTTATTTTGATGTTCTCAAGGACATGATTTTAAGAAAGTATTATTTCTGCTATATTTTTTATTTTATTGTTATTGATTTGAAATCCTCTATTAGTCAAATGATATATTATTCAATGAGAAGGGAACGTTTAGATTATTAGGTTATTGTTTATACATTTTAGAGATTACGGACACATAATCACGTACACAGCCATTCTGTAAACTGCTCTGTTCAGTTTTACATCTGTATCTAAGCAGAGCTTTATCTGTGGAGTGATAATCCTCACAAGCCAAGTGTAGGGTTGTTTACCAAAGTATCTGTGAGTTTTAATAAATTAATTTTTTTTTGTTTCTTTGGAAAAATTCATGCAAAACAACCTTTTTTTTTAAATGTGTCAAACCAGAAGCAAGATGTATATGGATGTATACAAAGTTGTTGATGAAATCAGAATGGAGGGGAGGGTGCAGTGCAAAAATACATATATTTTATATTCTTCCCTTCCCTTCAAGAATGACAAAAATCAACAAACCTGGAAGACCTGTCTATATTTTGCTTAGTAAACTGTCATTATTGCACCAGGAGCTAATTTTGACTGATGAGTGTTAAGATAAGTATATTTTTATCATGTTCCCACTTGAGGACTAGCTATGGCCATTGTTAGAATGTATTTTTTCTTATCTAAAAGCACTCTGAATATTTTGAGCGAAATAAAGGAGCCACAACCTTTTCTTAGAGGAGCTGATTTGTTATTTTTGTTATAGTGCAAGATGTTCGTATTATCTATGTTTAACTTAGTTTAAGCCCTACTAAAGAGAATACAGCCATGCGTAAAGCAGCAGGGGGAAGTAGGTTAGGAAGTAGGCTTCCTGGGTTAGGAAGCCATCAGGATACAAGACTGGTGGCATCAAACATTAAACTCTTAAGAAATGACATGTCAAGGAAAATTAGGACTTTGTTGAGGACAAGTACAGTTAGTTTACATGTTTTCCACCACTATTATTGCTGCTTGCATCCAGGAATGTTTATTGGACCAACAGAGAAAAGTCAGTCTCATCTAAAGCAGAAGGGAGAAAGCAATTTGATGTTCCTCTGCGCACTGCATAACAAATATTAATCAAAAGGCAGTAAGATTGTTTTCTCTATGTAGGGGAGTTTCTCTACTCCTTTCCCTAGAAATACCAATAGCATTCTTTGGAGAAGTGAGAACTTGTTGTTCACAACAGAAGTTGGATCCCGATGTGACTCTTGCCAAGCCAATTAGTGAAGGAAAAGCACCGGTACAGAAGCACCAAGCTTATTACAAGGCAGCTGGCCACAGTGTAGGATATTTCACCATTGAACTTCAGCACCATCCAGCTACTGCTGAGACTGGATAAATTTATATTGCAGAGAATCTCCTTCCAGAAACTTTATCCTACAGTTGATTCTTAGAAATCCTTTTAACTCCGACATGCATATTCAGAGAAGGGGTGTTTGTTTTGCTTTACTGCTATTTTCTCTATCATTTTTAAGACAACTGCCACTCTGTTGGATAGTATTATGCATTTTGTCCTGAAGAGACAAGAATCGTAGAATGGTTTGCATTGGAAGGGACTGTCAAGGATCATCTAGTTCAATCCCCTGCCATGGGCAGGGACACCTTCCACTAGATCATGTGGCTCGAACCCCCATCCTTCAACACTTCCAGGCATGGAGCATCCACAACTCTGGGCAACCTGTTCCAGTGCTTCACCACTCTCTTCCTAAAAAATTGCTTCCTTATGTCTGAGCTAAATCTACCCTCTTTCAGTTTAAAGCCATTACCCCTTGCCCTATCACTACCTGCCCTTGTAAAAAGTCCCTCTCCAGCTTTCTTGTAGGCTCCTTTTAGGTACTGGAAGGCTGCTATAAGGTCTCCCCAGAGCCTTCTCTTCTCCAGGCTGAACAACCCCAACTGTCTCAGCCTGTCTTCATAGAGGAGGTGTCCCAGCCCTCTGATCATCTTCACGGCCCTCCTCTGGACCCACTCCAACAGGTCAATGTCCTTCTTATGTTGGGGGCCCCAGAGCTGGACACAGTACTCCAGGTGGGGTCTCACCAGAGTGGAGAAGAGGGGGAGAATCCCCTCCCTCGACCTGCTGGCCACGCTGCTTTTGATGCAGCCCAGGATACAGTTGGCTTTCTGGGCTGCGAGCGCACATTGCCGGCTCATGGGCAGCATACAGATCACTCTGAAACAAAAGGGTACCAAGAGGTGTTTCAGCAAAGTAATCCTTCTAACCCAAGGTTCCTCAGCAAATAGAGCACTGGCAACAGTGTTCTCTTCTGTAAAGATTTCTACATGGAAAGGGGACAGCTGAATATGTGGGGAAAACCCTAAAGATAAAATAAATATAAAAGTTAGCAGGCCTTCCTCATTTAAGTGTTGGAGTTTTTTTAACTTTCTTTGGATGGTAAGGTTTCATTTTAAAATTTAACTTTTAGGAATCAGAGGGGACACAGGTCATTTCCCAACAGTTTGATTTTTTTTTTCCATTATTCGATTGCTTCACTATTATACATATAAAAAAATTAATAATTAGAGTAAATGTGGTTGAAAACACAATTTTTTTGTCAGGGGTCAAGTCTGCACCATTAAAATAAATTAGCTTTTTTAATATTTACTTTTCTCTAGATCTGTGAGACAGCAAAGAACTCTTCCAGAAAAATAAAGAAAGGATAATTTTAATCCATTTTACATTACTGAATAGAACACATTCTGATATGTTCAAACAAGAAATGCATTGGTCTTACTGCCTATCATTTATAAAAGTATTTAGAATTTACTATCAATTTTCAGTATTTTTATTTGCTTTGGTAAAAAGGCATCATGATCATAACTGCAGAACAGTATCTTAAATTTGATTTACGTATGAGAGTTTGATTGGGTATGTACTATGTGGTGCTCATATTATACTCCTCTGAAAGAACTCTGACGGAGACCATTGTATTGTGTTCATTATGCCAGCTTTGTGACTTCAAGAAGAAAAAACAGGTACCTGAATATGAACAAGAAAAACAAAGGGTAGGAAAAAGAACAGGCAGAACAGATAAAGAATGAGTAGGATAAGTGAGTGCTTTACAAATGAAAGCAGATGTATGAAATTACAAGCTGTCGGATCAGCAACGGAAATGAAGATGATAAAGTGGTTCCCTACACAGATTATAATTATTCATTTTGCCCAGTCCTGCATCTTTTCCCCATAATCCTCTTGTTAAGGGAGGAAAGGTGCAGGAGGATATGAGGCTTATTCACATGAAAGAAAAAAAATAAAACATTTAAATCTTTCTATCCACAAAACAGTCCTTTATTTTGCATTTTATTCATTCAAAATAATTTTGTATTTGCAATGATCCTTTCTGGTGTAGAGGCCTGATTAATTAAAAGTATTTGTTACTACAGCTGAAGTTCTCAGAATAGTAAAGTTTGTTAAAAAATTATTTACAATTACTATTGTTGGAGGCTGTCTTTATGTTGCAGAGTATAAGCATCGTTAACAGGCATTGCTTTGACAGCTGTGGCAGATGGATTGCCTGGATTTAGATGGTGCAAAAGAAATGAAGTAGTTTACATAGACCTGCCTGAAAAGATGTCTTTAATAATTGCACTCATAATTAGATTGATTTGGGGAAAAAAAAAACCAAAACCAACCAGAATACGATAACGACAAGCAAAGAACCATAGAGTATACTTACATAGAGATAAAATCAGGCATAATTATAACAAAATTATAAACTTAGCAAGGCATGCTGAAAATTTCCTGAATAAGTAAAAAATCCTAATAAAGTTAATGGTATATTATATTTTTAAGTGTTTATGAGATTAAAATCTAGCCTTTTCCCTTTTTCCTGAACATTTCATGAATAGTTTCTGATTTACGAGAAAAAAAGGAGTTGTTGACATCATTTTACGTATGTGTATATATATGTGTGTGGGCATGTGTATGTATATGTACATAAGAACAACATAAAAGATACTTCAGCAAAGAATTGTCAGAGTGGGGGAAAGTTATCATAAAAGCAGGACCGAAGGTAAAATTTATCTCACAAATTATCATACTTAAATTTAGGTGTCTGCAGATGAGTGTCTGAAAAGTCAGTGTCCATTTCAGAGTATAGGACTAGTTCTTCAAGCTCCACTGACTATTGCCCTGACCACCACTGACTCAGGCAGGCTTTAGGTGCACAGCTACAGAGATCTAAATTTAGGCATCTAAATCTGGAGCTAACGTAAATGTCTATGACATAAAGTAAGTAGTAGGTTTAGCATTGTCCTTAATGATACTGGACCAAGCATAGTCATGAAGCTTGATTATGCAGTATCTTCTTTTACTCTGAGCACTGCTTGAGTTCTAAGAGACTTAAGGTGGGAAAAGACAGCTGAATCTGAACTGTGATGAATCTACTGGAAAAGGTGCTGGTTTGGAATACCAAAATAAGATAGTAATATTTCACTTTTTTTTTTTTCTTTTTTTTTTTTTTTTCCATTTTCATTGTAGTGATTTCAAGTAATTACCAGACCTGTTTGGGACTTCTGATGCATTATCCACCTATTGGAGATGTTCACTCCCTTATCCTAAGAGCACTTTTTCTCCGAGATCCAAAGGTGAGATGCTGGCTTTGTAAATACAGGGAATAAATCTCTCTAATAAAATGTTCTAAATACTGTGAAGTTAATAACAACCTACATTTGGGGGACTAAACTGTACTTTCAAGTTTCTTCTTACCTGACAAAAATGCTGAAGTAAAGAGTTGGTAACCAAGAGTAGAAACAAGTTTCTTTAATCTTCAAAGTATGCTATCCTACTATTTTGCTTAAGTTATCCAGGAGCTGTGGTAACTGCAGATGTTTATGCTGTTTAGAATGCCTTTGCTTGGTATTCTGCACAGACATCTTTCATAATAAAGTATACTTTTGAGGGAAACAGTATATTTTATATAATAACCTAGTAAGCTGTATAGAAATTGTCATGCGATTTCATCTCTAAGACCTTTTTCATGGGATTTCTGCAGATTAATCACTATTAATCCTTAAAGCACTACCCCGCCCAATGTATAATAGTTATGTGATGGTTTTCAATTAAAAACAAGAGTCTGCTGTTACAGCCTGAAAACATTCACATGAATAAAATGTACAAATTCATAAATTTAATGTTACATATTGCTAGCATACAGTTTCGAATATACTCATCTATACTAAAAAAAAGCAAACCTCTTGCTGTTTTAGAATGGCATGTGTATATGTGTGGATATAATATACAGCAGATATCCACAGGATAGTGGATAAAGTGTTTGAGATGAAGCTGTACACAGTAATCTTTGCAGTATTCAGATCTTTGGCAGATAGCAGAATTTGTGCTGCTGGTTTTGAACTGTCTTTGTGCATGTCCCATTAGTAGGCTGCCAGTGTAAAGTCTGATTTCCCTCATTTCTTGATGCATGTCACCTTTGAAAGTGAAAAATTCATCACTTCTGCACTTTGACTGCCTTCTGCAAAATTTCATTCAGTACCAGTGTTTACACTTTTATTGATTAAGAAAAAAATTGTCTCTTTGTTTCTATATCAGTTTTTTGCAGAAATCTGCATTCTTACAGCTGCTTTCTTCATTCCTCTCAGGCACAAAGATTTCTTTCATGACGAGAGTAAAGTATATTGTCTTTTCAGTGTGTAAGAAAGTTTGTAATGTTAGATCTCAGGAATCTTTCTAAAGATTTTGGCAGCAGTGTGTGAAATCAGACTGCCCAGCATTTATTTATGTACTTTTTTAGCAAAAAAAGATAGAAGTATTTTTTTAGAGGGAAGATACAGAGGGAGGAAAATTGTGCTAAGATATCAAACTAAATCCAATATGTAATCTGTCATTTCTTGAAGGTATATGTTAAAAGACAGAATAATTACTAATTATTCCACTGTCCTCCAAAGCATCCTAGGCTGTATACAAGATATCCTACTAGGCAAAGGGGGCAAAAATAAACTACCAATTTCCCATGTAAGAAGCTTGATCACTATTGTGCTCCTTATGCCCTTGTCTCCAACAGAATGAAGTTGTCAGGCTCATAGGCCTCAGTGCCCCATTAATAAACATTCTCAGGTGTGCCTTGAACACCTTTCAGAAAAACACTGGATGTAGTTCCTACTGTGTCTTTCAGGTAGTTCTCCCTTCAGTCAGGTGGATAAGTCCCTAAAGCTCTTTCATGCAAAGACTGCTAGTTGTCTTGTCAATTTAAATATGATTAATTACAATTGTTCCTCATCTCTGAGCTGTACTTATCTACTTGGGAAATACTCTGAAGGTGAGGAAGCTAGGATTTCCAGAGATAGAAGAGCCTTAAGGGACTTCCAGCCACCTCTTGTTTCACATTGGAACTTTGACTGAGAATGCATACACACATCTGGACTTCTTACAGTAAGGAAGTTAAACTGTTCTAAAGGATCACTCTAAAAGAAAAAAATAGCTCCTAGTATGAGAAGGAAATGTATTTTCAGTGCTATGACTTGAGTACCTGTTTCTTATCTTTCCCTAGGTATGATTTTATGTTTCACTTTTGTGTCTTTAAGCATGTATTGGTTCAATCCAATGTATTTCTGAAATGGAAGTCTTGTTATTCTATAAGACCTACACATAAAAATTTTTCAAGTCTTTCAAAATTTTTCATTGCACAGAAGGAAAAGGAAGACTCCAAGACATCATGGGTGCTGTAGGAGTCTAAAGTCAGTACACAGATTATATACCAATATAAGTGGGAAAATTATGATACCTTTTTTTTTTGCTATCTGCATAAAGATAATTCAGTTTGCTGTTATTCCTTGAGCAGATAAAAGAAGATTGGAAGAAAAGACAAGGCGATTTTAGTCAGTAGTGTAACTTGTAAGTGATGATTAGCAAATTCAGTGCTTAATGATTTTTCTTCCTCCTTTGATGTTTTCCTGTGCATTTCTCCATCACCAGCTTCTGGTTTCTAATGGAAAATTACATTTGGTTCAATGCATTTTAGGTCTCCTGAGCCAGGGCTGAGTTGTTCCGTGTGGCATTTCTTCCAACATTTCACTTGGGTTTTAATATGTGAAGTCAGGAAACTCTTCTGTGGGAGGCTGTTGCATGGTCCAGTGGCTTATTTCATTATTTGTTGAACATAGCAAGAATGTTTAGTGTTGTTCTAGGTATCAGAGAGAGGCTTGATCTCTGCCTCTTGGAGCTTTAAATCTCAGGTGGACAAGAAATGCAGTTTAGAAGTCATGGACAGGGACAAACAGGAATCTGCCTCTTGCAGGTTTGTTAATATAGATTGTCTTCGGGATTATTTTTGCAGCTAAGTAAATGCCAAATAATCTCACTGAAGGGAAATTGTGGGGTATTTGGACTAAGAAAGGTTGATCGTATCTACATAGATCTGAAAGGTTCTTAAGGAACAATCCTGTCATAAATGGTGAAGTAGTTAAGATGGACCCAATACGGCCTTTCCATTCATAACTTCTGATTCTGGATATAATCTGGGTTTGCATGTCTGATAACTTCCATTATTTCTTCTGTTTACTTGGTCTGACATGACAGATATCTCCTCCCTACTTATTTGTCTTGTAGACTATCAGGAGAGATAAACTTTGGCTTGATGAACCTGTTGCATTTTGTTTGCTTCTTTTCACTGCAGTCGTCACCAGGAGAGCAACCTCAATGTCAAAAGAAAGCTATACTTAAAAGATGGGTGGCATTTTTTCTTACAGATGGACAAGTAGAATTTCCTGACCTTTTGTGGAATCGAACCCTAGCAGAAGCCTTAGCATTGTCCAGTAATAACAATAATATGAAAGATTATTAGTGCTCACCATTAATCTAATGCATGCAGGAGCTCTCCTTTTCACTTCATGAACCATGGTTGGCAGTAGGAATGAGAGGACATTTTAGATACCACATCCCTGATATATTCCAGTGCCATAGAAGAGAAATACACATCTCTGTAATAGCTGAAAACAAGTTAATGCACCTGTCTCTGAAGGGGGGGGCCTGAGACATACTAATTTTACAGGCATGAGTATGGATCAATGCAGAATAATTGAATTTCAGCCTTTTCTGCATTTGGCTAGCTCCAGTTCTTCGGAAAATGTAGAATGAAGAGCTCAAATCAGTGTTGTTGTCTTTGCATAGGGTGATAAAGTTAACCTGCTTAGCAGAGTATTTGTTTCACATTTCTAATCTTTGAACAGATAATTACCTCAATTATTTATATGAAAGTAACTTCTATGTACTTAAAGTCCTTCTGAATATAAAAGTAGAGCTTCTTATGGAAGAATGGGCTATTAAAAGTATGTATATGTGAAATGAGAAAATAAGGGAAGGTTTTTTAGTGTATATCCAAAAGCATTTACTGAAGGTGTGTCTCTGTGTATTTAATATCCCACGAGTGGCCAATTTGCTTCATTTTTTTCCTTATCAAAACCATCGAGCACTGTTAATTTTCAAAGCAAAGGCTGCGAAATTAAGAAGTAGAGATATGGAGATAGGGCAGTGGAAAAATATAAAGTGATTAAAAAACATAGTTCCAACTAGAGTTGTTCAAATAAAAAAAATTAAAAAACCCAATTAGAAACAAAAGTCATAGAAAATGTGAACATATTGTGTTCCTTAAATAACCAGATGTTCTTTCCTTCCTGAAGGCAGCCAGGGCTAGGAATAAAAGGTTTAAAACTATTGTTTTAAGTTAACTGTGAATTTTGCAAATCTGTTTTCACCCTTTAGCAAATAAAATTCTAATACAGCAACATAAGCAAAGTAATTTTCATCTTTGGGTGTTCTTATTTGTATGTTGTTCTGTGTTGAAGTGTTAACCTTATCACAATGACTTATTAGAAAACTAAAGCACTACATAGAATATTACAGTTTTACATTGCATACTAAGAACCTGACAACCATCCTTTGTCTGAAAGCTTACTGTATTTATTCCTAATATTTTTGTAAAATAAGTTTGCTTTCGATATTTTAACGTGGTGAGTTACCCTATGTGTTGAGCAAGCTAGTTAGGAGTTTAATTCAGTGGAGACACCTTTTATCATAAGCCATCGATTCAAAAAGAGAAAAAAGAAAGTGGTTGTGCTTGGTCGATGGGGATTCATTTGTTAGTTATGCTAATAATATTCTAGTTACTGCTGCTGATATTTTCCAACATTGTATTTTAAGCTATTTGCTGACATTGAAAGTGGCCATATAATATTAAAATCTAACTAAATCCACAATGAAGCATACATGACATTTCAAAGAATTCGTATTAGTTTGTCATGCCTGAAATTACAGGTACTGCTAGAAAACTTAAGCAATAATATATGGTCATGATCACTCATATAACGATTAGTCAGAGAAATCTGCATTCCAGCTTTTTCACAATCTGAGCAATAAGTGACAAGGGGAAAACACATTACTGAAATTTTGAACCGAACTCTTTGTACATTTATTTTCAGCTGAATTTTCTTCTTAAGTAGCTGCCACCATCTCAGAGTTTTCTCCAAGCTAGTTTCATGTGCCTGAAAGGCTGTTGAGTTTCACTTTCTTCTTCTTCAGATAAATTCTTTTCTATACACTCATTAACTGAGGTGCCGCTGCAGAGCTGCAACTG